CCTCTCCGCTGCCCTCGGCGTGCCCGGCGAACGTGCGCAGGGCTCGCACCCGGCGGCCGGACGGGACAGGCCGCGCCCGTCCCGCCCCGCCCTGCCGCGGGGCCCCGGGGGAAGGAAGTGCAGAGGCGTGTGTGTCAAGACTTGGCGTTATTATTTTTTAAATTGTGAACACGAGATAGAAACGATGAATGGGAAGCAACTTCATGAACGGGAAACAACAACCCGCAGACCCCACGGGGCGCACGATGCGGGACTTTCCCGCGTGAAGAGTCCGCACGAGAACGCGGCCCCGAAGTTGGGTGGAGGGTCCCCACCGGCCCGGGTGGAGAGGGTGTTTGCAATCTCCTAGACAGCTGGTGTCCGAGGCCCCACGACCGAGCTCCGGGCCCCCTGTGTGCGGGCGCCGTGCTTGGGAACAGAGCCAGGTCCCAGCTATCTCCCCCCACCCCCGGCCCCTGTAATCAGCGTGCCCAGCGTGCGGGGGTGGAGGGGGGCGTCTGGGAAGCGCTCTGGAGAAGGTGGCATTTCCTCAAGGTCGGTGGGACTTGGCTCCGCAGAGGAGGAAGCGCATTCCAGGCCGAGGGGACAGCGCCCGTGGAAGCCCTGAGTCGGGGAGGCACTCGGCTCCTGCCGGCGGGAACGCGAGGTGGCGCGGGTGCGGCGGGGGGACGAGCGGGCTCCAGGTGGGGCAGTTGGGAGGGGTCGGCAGGGAGCTTCCCGTGCAGGGATTCGGAACTTTCACGCCCCACAGAGCCGGGGCACCTCGTCTAGAGACCGGTGGGTGGCGACGGTCACCGGTAAAGAGCGTAACGCTGTGGATTTGCACAGATGTTTCGCGCTAGCAGAGCTTCTGCTCGCTCACGACGTCGCTGCGAAGGGGCCCCTGCGATCATCCCCACACAGGAGAAGACCCATTTTGCAGATCAGAAAGCATCATCCCGTCTTCCCAGATGAGGAAACCGAGAAGCGGCTAGTCCCCGGCCCTCGGAAGGCGCGGAGGTGGAGCCGCGCCGCCCCCAGGCACTCAGGGCGGGCGGGCAGGGCCTTGGCCCCGGGCGCTTGGCAGCCTGGAACTGTGAGCCGGGTGCCAGCCCTGCCACGCAGCCGCAGAGGCTCAGCCCCGCCGGCGGGCGTCAGGAAGGGAGGCGACGCCCCCTGGAGCGCGGCAGGAACCCGGCGCGTCCCGCCTCCCCGCCCGCCGAGCGGAGTCGGTCCGAGAAGTGGTGAAAGCCGCGGCCGAGTCCAGGTCACGCCGAAGCCGTTGCCCTTTTAAGGGGGAGCCTTGAAACGGCGCCCGGGTTCCATGTTTGCATCCGCCTCGCGGGGAGGAAACTCCATGTTGTAACAAAGTTTCCTCCGCACCCCCTCCCTCCCCCTCCCCCCTAGAACCTGGCTCCCCTCCCCTTAGAAGCTTTGGCCGGGCCCTGAGCTCCCAGCCCGGGAGGGAACGGGGAGAGTCTGAACTCGGGGAGGCTCAGAGACGCGGGGCGGGGCCTGGCGCCTTGTAGGCGCTCCGGTCTGCTTGAGGTAGGGAAACTGAGGCAAGGGGGGGCGCCTCCAGGGGTTCCCCGGCTGGCAGTGCTTGGTGCCCGGGCGTCGCCCCCTCCCCCCCCCCCCGATTGGCGCCAATGGGACTGGGAGATGGGGGGTTGGGGAGGGCCCTTCCAGGCCACCCGCCGAGACTCCGCCTCTTCTGGGCTGCGGTCGGGTCTGGTCTGGGGAGGGGGCGCCGAGGTGACAGCGGGCTGGGGAGGCTTGCAGGGATCTCCCGCCAACACTCGGCCACGTTCCGCACAAACTTCCGCGTCACGCGTGGAGGTGCCGAGCCCCTCAGGCTCGGAGAAGGTCCAGCGCTTCCAAGAGTTGCCCGCGCGCCCGCGGGGCGAACGTGCGCCCAGCCTGGCACGAGGCTCCCAGGCTGCAGGCCCGAGGGCGCCCGGCCTGTGCACACACGCACAGACCCGCGAAGCCGCGCCACTCTGCTGAGGCTGCGCCCGAGGGGCTGGCCGGGCCACTGTGGGGGTCTGTCCCTGCTCTCCCTCTCGTGGACTTAAGGGCTTGGAAGTTCCCCCCACGTCCGCCCACCTCCAGCCTGGGTCTTGCTTCGCCTTGGGCAGGGGGCACGGGTGGAGGGACGGGTGGAGGATGGGCCTGTCAATCAGTCGGCCGCTGCGGGGCTCCGGGTCTGAGGTCTGGGCTGGGCGGTGCGGAGGAGGCGGGGCGACACTTAGCCGCGGGACACTGGCCCCAGGCCTTGGGGCTGCACCCCCTACCTCTGGGCCTAGCGTCAGTGAGGACTTTGGACCCACGGGGGCAGAGAGAATGGAGGGAGGCTGGGAATGGACGCCCAGGCCCCAGGCCCTGACTCTCCTGAGCATGAGCTGGCCAGGTAAGGTCGGGGCAGAAGGCAGCTGTAGCGGGGCTGATCTGTCAGCAGTGACCGAGGCTGAGGAAGAGAAAGGGCACCTGGTGCCCCTCCTGCAGGCAAACCACTCCCTAATGTGGGTCCCTCTGTATCCCCACTAGACCTGCTTGTGGGGGTTGCAGGGGACCTGGAGCCAAGACTGGTGGGGTCCCTGGCAGGGATGTCTCACCGAGAGGCAGGAGCCACCCAAATGTGTCTCCCTTGGTGAAAAGGGGCATGGCCAGATCCTCCCAGCTCAGGCTGGCACCGGGGCACAAACGTGCACCTCTGCAGGACAGTGTGCACACACCCCCAACTTGGGCCTGGCTGTTTCAGGTGACCAGAAGCCAGCTTCCCAGAAGCCCCGGAGCCGGGGCATCCTCCACTCGCTCTTCTGCTGCGTGTGCCATGACGACGGGGAGGCCCTGCCCGCCCACAGCGGGGCACCTCTACTTGTGGAGGAGAATGGCGCCATCCCCAAGGTGTGTGGTGGCCAGCAGGGGCCTGCAGGGGCACGTGGGCTCAGCCCAGGGGGGCTTACAGGAAAGGTGTGCCAGACCCAGCTTTCCTGACACACTTGTAGACCCTGGAAGGTACAGAGGAGGGGGTGGGGGCCTCCCCTGCTAAGCCCTACAGCCTCCCCACCAGGCCCCACCTGCCTGGCTCCATCTGCCCCAAGACTGGCCTCCCAGCCGAGGGAATCCTGAATTCCCCTTCATAGATGGAAGCTTTTCTCTGAGTTGACTCAAGTGGGGAAGCAAGGTCCAGAGAACCAGGCAGCCTGTCCCGGCCCCAGAGTTGGCAGGAGCAAAGTGGGGAAGGGGTAGTATGTCCCACTGTCCCTGTGGCTCCTCAGGGAGAGGCTGGGGGAAGGAAGTCTGTGAAGGAGGAATGACAGGGACTTGAGAGAGGAGCCCCGAGCCATCCCCACCCCTACCCACAGCAGACCCCGGTCCAGTACCTGCTCCCCGAGGCCAAGGCCCAGGACCTAGACAAGATCTGCGTGGTCATCGACCTGGATGAGACCCTGGTGCACAGCTCCTTCAAGGTGGGCCCTGCCCCACAGCCCTCAGCCCCGGGTCTCAGAGGGGGGCCTGCCCTGGCCTGGGAGGGAGGTCTCTGCTGCTCCATCCCTGGGGCCCCTGCCCCAGCTGCAGCAGCTCTTTTCCCCCTACAGCCAGTGAACAACGCCGACTTCATCATCCCTGTGGAGATTGATGGGGTGGTCCACCAGGTGAGGGGCCGGGGGAGGAGGTGGTGGGCTTGGCATCTGCCCTCCAGACCCCAGGCTCCTCCCACCAACCTGAAGAGCCCCAGATGGGACTTTGATAGAGGTGGAATGTCAGAGGCTCAGAGACTTGCCCAAAGTCACACAGAACCTCCAGGGCTTGGCCTGACTCCAGGCCCACAGAGAGTGGTTCCTCCTCTCGGCCCCCCTTGCCATGCCCCCTTGCCCCACCCTGCCTGGGACCCAGTTCAAGTAATTCAGGATAGGTTGTGTGCTGTCCAGCCTGTTCTCCATTACTTGGCTCGGGGGCCAGTGCCCTGCAGCCTTGGGGTGAGGGGGCTGCCCCTGGGCTCCTGCATTTGGCTGAGGTTGAGGGGAGGGCAGGAACTGGGAATTAGCGATACCCTGTGAGATAGGACATGAAGCTGGTGGAGTCGGAAGTTCATTCTGATCCTCTTCTGGGAGGGTGGGTGGTTTCCCCAGCAGGGGTTGGGGCAGCTGGCCAGGTGGAGCCTGCAGGCCCTGGGGCCAGCCTCCCTCCTATACTCCTCTGCTCTCTCTGCTCATGCCCTCCCAGCCCTTAGCCACCCCCCACCCCACCCGGCCTGTGGGCCAGCAGTCCCCTCACTGGCCCACCCCCCAGGTCTACGTGCTGAAGCGGCCCCACGTGGATGAGTTCCTGCAGCGAATGGGCGAACTTTTTGAGTGTGTGCTGTTCACTGCCAGCCTTGCCAAGGTGAGCCCCTCCCCACTGAAGGGATCCTGGGGCAACCCTGCCCTCCCACCACCTCCAGCATGCAGCCAGATAGACCTCTGGGCCACCCTGAGCCCCAGGATGACCCACCTCCCACCCCCAGTATGCAGATCCAGTAGCTGACCTGCTGGACAAGTGGGGGGCCTTCCGGGCCCGGCTGTTTCGAGAGTCCTGCGTCTTCCACCGGGGGAACTACGTGAAGGACCTGAGCCGGCTGGGCCGAGACCTCCGGCGAGTGCTCATCTTGGACAACTCACCTGCCTCCTATGTCTTCCATCCAGACAACGCCGTGAGTATGGGTGGGACCCGGGCAGGTGTCTGAGACCCAGGAATGGAGTCAGCTCAGGCCGCCTCAGCATGCCCAATCCCAAGCTGGACAGTCTGGGGACTAGTGCCCTCCCATCCCTTTTTCCCACCCCCCATTAACTGCCTGCCACCCACTCGCCTAGTCCGTCCTCTGCTGCACTTCATCGATCACTGGGCGCAACCTGTATGTGCATAGAGGGCACTTGCCATGGGCTGGGGTCCCTGTCACACAGTGGAGCCATTTCAATTTTACAAATTACCAGTTGTGACCTATTAGTGGGCCACAGAACTAATTTAGTGGGTCCTGATGAGTGTTTTTAACAAAATGAAATGGCATAGAAAACATCAGAGTGCTTTGCACACAGTGCAGTTAATGTTGTTTCATGGAACTTTTGATTTGTCATATACATATAAGTGTGTTTTACTGGGGGTTGCTGAGGGGTTTCCAGGAACTAGATGACCTGAGCAGTGGGTGCTTAGGGCTGCCTGGACATTCTGCACCCAGGGCCACCTGCCCCCTCACTTTCCTGCTCCCATCTCCCTCAGGTACCCGTGGCCTCATGGTTTGACAACATGAGTGACACAGAGCTCCATGACCTCCTGCCCTTCTTTGAGCAACTCAGCCGCGTGGACGACGTCTACTCAGTGCTCAGGCAGCCACGGCCGGGGAGCTAGTGAGGCTGATGGGGCCTGGACCTGCCCCAGCCGACGCCTGTACCTCCTCACACGCAGACTCTGTGCGGCGCCCACGCTCTTTATTAAGAAAACCCATGAGCTGCCACCACACTCATCGCCATGGGGAAGCAGGCATCTCCCTCTCCAGCCTCGCCAGGCTGCGTAGGGGCAGCAGACTGCACCGAGTGCCTTTGAACCTCTTCTCCCTTCTTGGGAGATCTGGGGGACCCTGCCTGCTGCTCCCCCTTTCTGTCTCCTCTCTCTGCACTGCCATGTTTCTCTGCTGCCAAATTGGGCCCCTTGGCCCCTTCCAGTTCTGCTTTTTTTGGGGGGGTCGGGTCCATTCTGTTGCCCATGCCTTGGACCCCTAGCCTGGGAACTGTGGATACCAAGTGCCTTGCATAGAGCCCCCTCTTCCCTGCCCAGCTTTCCCAGGGACACGGGGCCACGAATCCAGGTCAGCTCTTGCCTGAAACAGCCCGCAGGTTGCTATAGTCTAAGCTGGTCAGGCTCTATCAGTCCCTTACTTGGGACTGATAGAGCCCCCACCAATCTCTGCCTCCAAGGGAGGGGAGGGGAGGGGAGAAGGTCTGTCACCACTTGTGAGGTGAACAGGGGTCCATCCTTCATAACCCCACAGTCTGGCTTTTCCAGAGCTGAGGGCTGCTCCCTGCATCACCCAAGCCCCGACCCCTAACAATTGCCTTAATCACCGCAAGGCCCTGGGGCTTGGCTCCCCCAGCTCTGAGTGTGGGGGCATAGGCAGGACCCTCTTGTGGTGCCATATAAATATGTATATGTGTATATAGATTTTTAGGGGAAGGGGAGAGGGAAAGGTTGGGGTGGAGACACCCCTCCCTTGCCCCTGTCCTGGGCCCAGATATTGGGGGGAGGGAGGGAAAGAATTTTTACATTTTTTAAACTGCTATTTTCTGAATGGAACAAGCTGGGCCAAGGGGCCCCAGGCCTGTCCTCTGTCCTTCATTCCCCCTTTTCTCTACTCATTCATTCAGAAAACATTTATTGAGCACCTTCTGTGCCCAGCACTGTGCTAGGCCCACCAGCTAAGTGTGTGGGGGGGAGGTCTGTACACCACTGAATTGGTGCCTCCCCCACCCACCCTCAGACTTCACCAGTGCCTTTTGGGGATCTATAGGAGGTGGGACGTTCTTGTGGGGTTTAGGGGTCTCCAGGAAGCCTGGCCAAGCTGTCTCCCTCCCCTGTGCCAACCCACCCCCTGTAGCACCCTGCCTTGCCCCCTGCTGGCTGGGGGCAGCTCCCAGGACATCCTGCCTTCCAACTCTGACTCCTGTTTCAGAACCCCCTCCCTGTACATGCCGAGTCTGGAGGTCTAGGCTTTGGGCTCTCCCCAGGGTCTAACAGTTAAGGGGACCCACATACCAGTGCCAAGGGGGATGTCAGGTGGAGATGTCATCATTCCCCACCCTGCAGAGCTGGTGGGGGGAAGAAGGATATGGTTGGCTTGAATCGGTGACCTTCCCGTTTAAGTGCCTTCTCCCTGACTGTGTGATGAGAACTAAAGAGAAAGCCAGAGCCCCCCATCCTGCTTCTGTGGTTATTGGGGAAGGGGTTTGAAGTGGGGTGAGTGATTGTGTCTTATGCCTGTGACTGCAGTGTGACCCTACTTCAGCAAGTCGTTTGGAGAGGGGTAGTAGAGGGGCTTGGAGCTTCCAGTGTGAATGGGGCAGGGTTAAGAACCGAGCTTTGAATTGGATCTGGGCTGTACTATTTAATCATCCCACCTTAGCCTCGGTGATCTGATCTGCGAAATGGATATAAACTTTCTTTGCAGACTTGATCAAAGTCCTGGACACTGATGACTCAATACTATCAGCTATAGGGCCGGCCCGTGGCTCACTCGGGAGAGTGCGGTGCTGATAACACCAAGGCCCTGGGTTCGGATCCCACATAGGGATGGCCGGTTCGCTCACTGGCTGAGCGTGGTGCTGACAACACCAAGTCAAGGGTTAAGATCCCCTTACCGGTCATCTTTAAAAAAAAAAAAATAACTATCAGCTATAAAGCAAAACTAAAATGCCTCGGTAGGGGCGGCCCCTGGAACGCATTGGGGACGGGGGCGTGGCCTCCGCCCCGGAGCGAGCGGGGGCGGGGCTGGCGGGGCTCCCGTGGGCAGAGGGGGGCGGGGCGCGGGGAAGCCGAGTGGAGCCGAGGACAGAACTTAACCGGGCTGACGTGGGCCGGCTGCGAGGTCGTCGGCCAGTGTGATCCGCGGGCTGTGGCATCAGAGACTGTCGCGGAGATGGGTGGGGCCGGAGTCAGGGCTCGGCCCACCTCCGCACCCCCCAGCTCGCCCCGGTCCCGCTTCCTGCCCGCGCCCCTCCGGCCCCGGCCGCACTTCCTTTGCGAAACTGGGCAGCTCCGGGCCGGGCCAAGAAGTGCCCTCCCCCGGCTGCTTCCCACGCTGGCCACTAGGGGCCTCCCTGTCCTCGCGGACGCCTGCGCTCTCCGGTGCCTGCCCCTCCTCCGCCTGCTCCCTCCTCCACCCGGGGGGCGCGGGGAAGCTGGGGGCCCGCGTCATTCACCCCTCTCAGGAGTGGGGAGCTTCTGGCGCCCCCCAACACACACGTAGTGGGGAAAATGGGGTGTGCACTCCCAAATGTTGGTCCCTGTCCCCTCAGCTGCTCCTCGAACCCACCCACCCCTCCTGAATCCAGCACCAAGCCTGCTTCCTGGTGCTGTGTGAGGGATTATAACTGTGTGTGAAGCTCCCTTCATCGTCACACACACACTCTCCCCTGGTAGGAAAGAGCCAGGAAGTACTCACCTGGAGAAGCCTGCAGTACTCTGGATTCAGCTCTGGTCTGAGCTGGGTGATCGAAGCCCATAGCGAGATAAATACCCAGCATTCCCTGGTCTCTGTCCTTGTCCTCCAGGTCCTGCTCCATTTCCTGCTCTCCATGCAAACACTGGCACCCCCCAGATTTGCATCCCGGAAGCCAGACACAGAGGAGCCGCCAGGGCTCCCAACTTTGAATGAGACCACAGTGAGGCTTCCCCACAGCCTACACACCCTCCACCCACACAGAGTTCAACTCAACCACATGTTTCGGTGCTTACTATGCTCCAGGCACGGTGCCAGGACCAGGCCATGCCTCTGCTCTCAAGGAACTAACACCCTGATGTGGAGAAGGAAACGTGAATAAGTAATTTAAAGACTGTAATGCTGCAAATGCAGTGCGGGAAAGAAAGTAGAAATTAAGGTGAGAGTGCAGGGAATACCTAATCCCTCCTGGGCAGCCCTGGGGGGACTGGAAAACACTCCCTGCAGGAGGGATGCTCAGAAGAGTTTGGAAAGGAGGAGTCAAGCAAAGGTGGCCTGAGTAAGGAGGTTGCACCAGGAGGGGAAGCTGTATGAGCAGAGCCTGAGTGACAGCCACAGCAGGAAGTGTAGGAAGAGACAAAAATTTTGGAATGGCACACATTTCATGGAAAATGAGGCTGCAGAAACAGGAGTGGACAGATAATGCAGTTGTATAGCCAGACCAAGGGAGTAGCCTTTTTCTTGCAGGCAGTGGGTACCACTGAGAGACCCTGAGTGATGCAGAGAGGAAGAGGGACATGTTCAAACCTGGCAACTGCATGCTGGAAGCTGAATTTGGTAGAGGGACATGAGACCTTATTGAGAGACCACAACCATGTTCCCAAAGATGGAGGATGAAGGCTGAGCTGGGGCAGAGGCAGAGTTAAGAGAGAAGAAGGAAAGAATGATGGATGTGAGAAAGGAGATAAACTTGGCAGAAGTGGTGGCTGTTTGGCTCTGGGGAGAGGAGAGGGAGGAATATGCCCTAACTTCTGGCTTTGGAGATGTCAGCTATGAAAATGTCTCTAACTGAGCCTGGTATGGATCAGAGATTCACTAGTTCCTTATTTCACACACACACACACACACACACACACACACACACACACACACACACACACACAGGTGGATTCAGGGAAACAGGCACCTGATACAGTGATGCTGGCAGTAGTATAAACCTGTGCAACCTCTTTGAGGAGTGGTTTGACAATATCCACCAAAAATATTTTAAAGTGCAGACACCCTTTGATTTAGTAATTCTACTTTTAGGAATTTACCCTGTAGAGAATGGCTAGTATTGGTATCCAAACCCTTGACCTTAGTGTTACAAGGCAGTTCCCTAATCAGTTGAGGTAACCAGCCAGCCCTATGCCCACTTTTGATGTAGTTAATCTGGCAAGTCAGCTTTCCCACACCCATGAGGGCACCACTAAGAAGAAACCTGCTAAGATTCTTGATCTCCAATTACAACAGATGGAGACTCCCAGGCAAAACTCTAAACAGAAACTTCCTGGCCTGTGCTACTACTCTAAGAAACTGAGTCACAGGAAAAGAGATTGCCTCAAAAGAAAGAGGAATTCCCTTTCTCAGCTTTCCTTTCCTCCTCCCCCATCTGGTGACCAATCTCAGTGAAGGGGTACCAAGGACCTACAGGGGCTTTTCCCAATTCTCCCATTTACTCATCTGTGTAAAAATGATCCTTCAAATTTGGAATGAGGTTTCAACCATGATCATAGACACCTGAGCAACACTCTCAGTCCTTAAAACCACTAGCTTCAATCAGCCCCTGCCTCAGAGTAATAAAAAGATACAAATGGTGGGAGTTTAAAATAAGCCATTAACTGCTTTTCTCTCACAGCCCATCTTTTTTGCTTTGGCCCTCTCCGAGACAAGCACCCCTTTTGCTTGTTAATTCTGCTCCTGTCCACCAAGAGGAATTTCTTTTTTCTGGAAAGGGGGAAGTAATGTTAAAATTTGGCAAACCAAACTGTGCCACCCTTTCACTGCTAAATCAAATACCTGTCTCTTTACAGGCATAATCATCTACTGATATTGGCAAATTTTACTGTGTACCTCCTATAAAAATCCAAATTGATTCATCAAAACCCCTGCCTAATATTAAACAATATCCATTAAGCCAGATTGCATTACAGAGTATCAAACCTATTATAGAAGAATATTTTAAAAGGGCTTTATTATTTCATGTACTAGTTCTTGTACTACCCCAATTCCACTTGTTAAAACACTGGGTAGAGATTTATTTGGGACCTCAGAGCAACAAAGAATATTGTTCCATGGCATCCAGTGATTCCAAATCCTCATAACCTTTTAAACTCAATATCCATTAATAGCAGGCTTTTCATAGTCAATGATCTAAGTAGTGCATTCTTCAGTATTACAGTGGATTAAGTCAGCTAGTATCTTTTTGCCTTTACCTGGAAAGACC